GATCGAAGCTGCTGTGGTGGGGGGGGTAGATAGGGTAGGGTAGGGTAGGGTAGGACTGGCTACTGACGGGTAAAAGCGACGATGGTATGATATGTATCATAGCCGTCTTTCCCCCTCCCCCCACCCCCACCAAATAATAACCGATCATAATATCATAACTTTTTTTTTACCATGCAATGTCTATTACGGTACTCATCTCACTGCCCGGTTCCATGACATGGTGGAAGTCTCCGTGTATGATCTTGCGCTGATATCCTGGACTGCTGTGGTACGGTGGGTTAGTAGGCTGGGTTTATTTTTTTTATTTTTTTTTATTTTACGTTCAAGATGCTTAAAGTATGCTACTAGCATCATAGCTTGGCTTTTTCATCTTCCTTTCCCTTGTTTCCATCCTATGAATACCGGTATTTATTTATTTTTTCCTTTCTTTTTTTTCTTGTTTCCTTTTTTCTTCTAGCTTCTGTGGGCGATGGGCCTTACCGGTATTCACTCCCTGCTCGATCTCTCTTTCCCTCCCTCTCTCACTCTCGGGAGAGGAAGAGAGAGATAGAGAAAAGTGATGACATTGTACAACTCGTATTACAAGATTTTGTATGGCTAAAGTCCCTCATCGAGCGAGAAGAGCTGGAGAGAAAAAATAAAATAAAATACGCTTCCGCACTCGCATTCTGGTACCAGTAGTGCTCTTAGACTAACTTATCATACTGGTAAAACACGGTAGCATCCATCCATCCAACCCCCCCCTCCTCTAATCAAATTACAGGAAAACTGAATATGGTATGTAAGTAAATGCGGTAGATGGAAAGAAAGAAGAAAAAAAAAAAAAAAAAAAAGAAGAGAAACAGACAAACAGACAGACAGACAGAAGAAATCAGTCATTCCGATCATTATAATCATCCTTGTATCACGGCGAGTTTTTTGTTTTTCTTCTCCGCCATAGCAGGGTCCGCAAGATACTGTAAAGGAAGCACGGTAGGAAAAAAGAAAACTAGTATACATAATAAATAATTCACAGCCCGCTCTTGCGATTCCATTTTTCCCACCCCCCCAAAAAAAACCCTATGCTGTAGGCTGTCCCCTCCCGGATAGACTTAGCAGAACGGAGAAACATCAAGTGAAATAAAATGCACATCCAAAAAGCAAACTTGGTCAAAAGGCAAGACGGAAGGGAGTAACAAAATTCAATGAGCAGATGGGTAAGGGGAGAAAAAAAAATCAAATAATTACCAGACACCCAAAACCCGGTAACGACAGAACTAATGCACTCCCAACCAACCAGAACGAGAAACCCTAGAAGGTACAAAGTGTACATACAAAAATAAATAAAAGTAAATAATGATGAGCACGCTCCCTGAAGAAAGGTTAAAAAGGTCAACCGTGAATGAAAATCATACACACACACCAAGCGCCAACAACCCGAAACAGGCTCCTGTCACTTGATGTAAAAAAGCAAACACAAGAAGAGCAAAATAAATGAATAAGGGGTAACCAAGGAAGAAAATGTGAAAACCCAAATCTGCCAATACATCTATGGTATCGCCACACCTCCGTAGGCCTGAGATAATTTTTCTGTAGCAATTTTCTCCTCCTCGCGGTTGGAAAGGGAGGGTTATAAAAAATGAAGACCCGTCCATGGAACCGAAACCAGATCAGCAGAGACTATAAAAAAAGATAGAAAGCACTTCCAGCAAGAGCCGTGGTCCGGATTACTCCCGTTTTCTTTGTGGGAAGGAAAAATCGAGCGAGATCTCCCAATCACGGGTTTTTGCTGCTATGGACTTTCTTGTGCCGTCTAAGATTTGATACCACAGAAAATTTCCGGCCACAGCCATCGACCTCGCAGGCAAATGCTAAATAGACCGTTGTAAGCTTTGTAATCCTTGCAAAAAGAAAAGATACGATGGGAAATCAGGGCGCCTACGCTTTTCCCCAGTGTGGCTGTACGTGTGTGTTTGTAGCGAGCTAGGTCTGGTAAACCTCTTCTCACAAACCTTGCACTTATGCTTCTTCTGTGTACTCGATGTGATCTTGGAGCTGAAGGTAGTCATGAGCGCGCCTTGGCCGGGCACGCTATGAATGCCAGTGCCCAGCCTTGGGAGGGTGGGGCGTGGAGCTTCTGATGGAAAGCCGGTGGAGTCTGAGTAGTCTGTCGCAGAAGAGTCCACGGATCCACCACCATAATATCCGTTATACGATCCGGTCGACGAGATGGATGAATTGGTTGAGTGGCCGGGATAAAAGTTGTGAGAACCATCGGCCCGTCCTCTGGGTTGGCGTGATGCCTGACTCATGGCAACCATCCCGCGAGCAGAGTCGAGTGTATCCGAAAATTGATGGTGATCCGTGCTTCGAGGCGGTTGGGCCAGCGGCCTGCTTGAAGTCCATTCCATCAACGAGTTTTGTCGCTGTCGTGGAGGCTCTACGGGTGAGCCCAAAAACATAGTGTTAGACATGGCTGGTTGTGACATGCGCCGATCGTTGTTGCTCAATGGATACGATGTTCTGCTGTGGTGGGTAGAGAAGTCTAATGTAGGCGCAAAGGAATGCACACCACTGTACGAAGTAACAGCTGTGGGGGAAGGTGCCGAGGAACCAGACATGCTTATGTCTCCTCCGAAGGGGGAGTTGGCGTTGAAGCTCAACAAGTCACCCTTCATGAAGTCGCTATGGTGTGGAAGAAGAGTAGGGGAAGACATGTTCCGCCCAGGGTTAGATGTGGGAATGCCGGCAGTTGTTGGAATGGTCTGATAGGAGGCGGAAACAGTGCTGCTGCGCAGGTCCGGCTTTACTAACGAACCCAGGCCACCAACATCAGGGATGGATGGGATTAAGTGGTTTTGGGGAGAGGCGGATGTCCAAGGGTTTGTGAACTGCACCGGTCCCAGATTTGGAGGTTGGAAGCCGCCAAAGGTACCGCTATGCAGTGGGTGTCGTTGTCTGTTCTCAATAGCCATTGCGAAGATGTATTGAACGGAATGCGAGTAGGCGGGAAGAGAAGGGGATTGGTGCAAGGCAGTGGCTGAGTTACTCCCGATAGTCCTTAACAATATTCAGGTGTATGGACGAGGAGTAAAGATCGGATGGCGCAAAAAGACCCGACGATGTTCAAGATCATCCAACAGCAGAGCGCAGAGTATAGCAGGTGAATGAGCGAAGAAGGTCGATCAGACTGTGATTGCGCAGCAGGATGGACAGGTGAACGACGGGGAAGACAGTGTCTTATGACAGAGGAAGTTCGAGGTGTCAGTCGATGGGTGGTGGATAGATATATTAAGATGGGAAGCCGTGGGGTAGCGGATATCGGATGTGCACTGGGGGGTAAAAGTGTACTCTGGTAGCTATCGTGCGTAAGCCCGGTTGAACTTTGGGAGAGGAGCAGAGTGTAGCAAGAAGAGCAGGAGAAGCACGGTACCTTCGAAGAGAAGTTTCCTACTCCAGTCCAAAGGATGTTCGGTGGATCGTCCGAAAAGGTTGACGAGGGGAAGAAGACGCAGAGATGAGGGACGATCACAACGCAGCTGTCAAACGTTTAGTTTGGACACGAAATCTTTCTTTCCTTTTTTCCTTCCCTTTTTTCCTCCGGTGCGGGAACCGAGCAAGATATTATTCTCAGGATAAGTAGTAAATATATATATATATATATTCTCCTGCTTCTTCCTATTTTTTCTTCTTTTCTTTTTTTCTTCTGAAATTATTCCCTTTTAACGGGGAGGCTGCCTGCGTGCTTATGCGCCCATGTAAGTTAGCTTCTGGAGGAGAGCAAGTACCAAGAGGGACCTTAAAAGTATGGCAGCCGAGCAGCAAGAAATCAGCACAGCAATGAGAGGGCAACTAAGCAAACTACCGTACGGTAGGAGCAAGCAGATAGTGTAGAGTAGGGTACAATGCCAGCGAACGGCTGCCCTTCCCCCTCCCACCTCTACAAGCAGGGATTGATGGGAGGGTGGTGGAGGGGGGGGGGGGTGGATGGGTGGATGGGTGGATGGGGAAAGGGTGAGTGGAACGTAGAGGAGAGGGATGGGAGTGATGCCTGTTACTGAAGAGTGTGCAAGCCTGTGCTCTTTGGCCGGGAACCGAGAAGGGGCAAGCGTTGGACTGGAGCAACGGAGAGGAGGGCAGTTTCCGGTTTGCCCTCAACAACCATTTCTGGGAGCTCAAGAGAGCAGGGAGAGGGAAAAGGAGAGGAAGGGAAAGGAAACAAGTCTAAAAAATCATTAGAAAACGAGCCCCGTCCGCGAAGGACACGCGGTGAGAGCAATACCGGAATATGCGTATGGCAAAACAAAAAGAATGCAGAGCAGAGCAAAACACAACAAAAAAAACAAGCAAAGTAAGGAAGAGCAATGAAGTACCGCAGAACTCAAAGCAAAACAAAGCAATGGTGATGGAGTAAGTCACCAAGGCCACAAATAGATAATATTCCCAAGGTGGTGGGACGAAATAGGCAAAATACTTTTGAAAGGGGTAAACATAGGCATGAACGGGGGAATTTACCTAGCTATCTTTTAAACCGGTCCAGCGATTGGGGGCTGCGACGCAAGGAGACACCACCGAAATTTCGCTCTCGGCACCTGTCTGCTTCTCGACAAGAGGGAAGAGAGAAAAAAAAAAAGAGAGAAGGAGAGAGAGCAAGACCAAGAATTATTAGAGTCGCCGTTCAAGATACGGAAGCCGAAGAAAAAAAAAGAAAGATAAATAATATGGTAAGGTAGCCGCAACCTAATCCTTTCCTTCCTGTCGATGCGGATATCTTGGTACCTCTTGGTACTCCCCAAGCCCTACTTCAATATTGGAACCGTGCTGTAAGGTCAAGGATGCTGTTTGATAGCGGAGATGTTGACCCTTCTGATGATATCCGATGCCGCAGCCGATGACAGATTTTGGATGTTGAATGTGCCTCGTATTGATGATGGACAAATGGAAAGGTGATGTCCCGTAGGATTGGAAGCGGCCTCTCTGAAATGCTGAAACGATGGACACTCTCGGGCAAGGTTTGTACATCCGCCAGAGGCGATCTCTCGAGGAAGATTGACGGAGGGGCGAGGGGAACGGGAGGGAAGCTTGGGGATAAAAAACCTTGACGGTCTCCTTCCAGTCCTCTCGAATTCCCAAGTCCTGATTTCTTTTCCTGCCTACAACTTTTTCCTGTCGAAAAAACCCCTAAGAGTGGAGGCTCACTGAGGCTCGCCCGCTCGCTCTGCCGAAAGACAACAACTACTTTACTGACCAGGACGACCCGATCCTATCACTGGCCTCCTCACTCACATTGCACTACCCCATCATCCATCACTCCCCCCTCCTCCTCCTCCCACCCTACCATGCCCAACTTACTAGAATTTACCAGTATAATATCATACTCGGAGCAAGTTTTTCGAGTATTCGCGACAAGGAGACAGGTCAGACGCGTGATGCGATCAGAGTATGGGAGTGCTGGGGCGACTGGAGATTTCCTCATCTCCAAGTTTTTGGCCCGTTCTCCCCCCAGCATCTGTGTGCTAATTTTGGTCAGCCAAGCAAGCGACATCAAAATAAAGGGTGAGAGGGCAAAGGTTGACAGGGCTGCAAATGACGATGGGGGCGGCAGGCACTATCTCAGAAGCAGGGGGTCCCCCGAGGTGGTGAGACCCTATGACGACGCGGGCGGGATGGAGGATCAATAAATGCGGGCGCAGTGAAAGGGTGGAGCCGACTGCAAGCCCCCGGCAGGTTAGCCGTTCTGTGCGAGTGTTTAACGCCAAGATGGCCAAGGCCTGCATACATTTTCTCATTCCCCTCCAATCCTCCAATCCTCCAGCTCGCCCACTCGCCCACTCGCCCACTCGCCCACTCGCCCACACACACACCCCTTCAGACATTTGATTCATTCATAATATCGCCTATGAGAATGTACCCAGCACACACACCCCCTCGAACCTCACACACGCGCACTTATTTTCTCTCACACATCCACACCACACACTGCACGCCGCTTCCATTGTACTGTACCAGTACTCGTAACCGCAGAGAGGACACCGCCGCCGCTCTCCTCAGTCCGCAACCGCTTGCTCTTAACCCCCATATCACAAGTACTCATAGTACCGGTACGCAAGATATCATCCACGAGTAGACCACTAGGACCATGGACCCAACTCTTGCGCTATTACCGTCCGGATCGCCAATACCGTAACAAGCCCCGTCATTTTCTTAGATATCTAACACCACACAAAGCCTCCCCCCACCCCCTCTCGCACCCACCCACCCACCATAATCTATCGTCCACAATCCTCGACGGAGCCCCATCCAGATGGCCGCAGAGAATGAGAATGAGGGATAGAGCAGAAACAAAAAAATATATAAAAATAAAAATAGTAATGATCGATTAAGTGGAAATGGTTGAAAAAAGGAAGAGAGAGAGAGAGAGAAGTAACAAAATATCGCAAATCCTTTGCCCGAGTTTTGGAGGGCAAAAAGCTTTTTTGCCACCGATCAAATCGTCATTCGTAAAACATGACATCACGTCAACAAGGCTATCCCAGGGCCGGCACTTTTCCCGAGAGCCTTCCCTCCCCCCAACAAACTTGCCCAAATGAGCAGATTTCCATATCAGCCAGCACCGCGCCTCTTGGCAGCTAAGCACCAGATTTGTTATGAACGGACCCGTATCGGTCCCCGAAATATTTCTAAAAAGAGTACCCCGGTGAGCCTAACCTCGCCGTTGCAGATCCTGCCTCTTTGTCCTGCCCGGTCTAAAAAGGTCAGTGGAACTGTTGCCTATTTTTTGCCCTGCGTCGGACCTCATGCCCGTTCGAGAGCTTCGAGAATGCCACACTGAAACGGACCTGAAACACTTCTTACATCATAACGCATCGGGGTACAAGTATTAGTACTCGTAGGCCGTGCTTTTTTTACATATTATTATTGTATTTTTCCCTCTTTGTCGCCTCTCCTCCTTTTTTCCCTCCTGTTCTCCCCCTTCCTTCCCCCTCTTCCCCCTGACGCATAGCCGTCCCGCTGGACGCGAACCCGGTGTGGCAGATGGAGGGGACCGTAATCTGCAAAAGATTTGCCCTGGCTGCTTCCTCTTTTCTACAAACACTCCTGTGTAGCTAGAGGAAAAGGGAGGGTTCTGGTGGAGAGTTGCCAGTATTATAATAGGTCCGGACGAAAATGGAAATCAACACCCACAAACCTTCAGATTGGAAAGCGGTGGCCGATAGCAACATGGAATAGCGCGATCGGTAATTAACCTGTTCTTGTTCAAATGGGGCTTGGTCTGAACCGAATATTTTTTTCTTTATAACCTTACCGGATACCAGATACCCTATCCCTCCGACCTCCGCTCCGCACCTCCACACCCGCCCTCCCCCCCCTCCCGCCCCACTCCACTCCCGTTAGTGGACTTTACGGTGGGGAATACCGGTGCCTACGGTACTTGTATCAAACCTTCTCTATTTCTTTTTTTCTTTCTCCCTCCCTTTTACTAAACCACAATCTCTCACATACCCACAAGCTCACGGACAACTATCGTTTTTTAACATGACATGTCCGGGCGCAGGGGGCGCTTGTTTGTGAAAAAAGGCATATTCCGGAATTCAACAATCATATCCGATGTTTTACGATTCCTTGCATCGGTGAATGAAAAAGAGAGTGTGGTAAGCGTACCATACCTATGATTGAGGATGTCGAGGATTCGAGGTTACCTAAAAGAATTTTGCGCTGTGATGTGAAGATCCCTATATAGAAGGAGTATAGCGTCAGGGTCCTTCTATTTCCCGTTAGGATCGAGGCTGTTGGGGGAAGGCTCTGATTTGTGGGGTATCCGTCCGTTTTGGAGATAAAGATACGGAACAAGGACCCTTTAAGGAATTATGATATTCTGCCTTTATCTTTTTTCCTTTCTTTTTTTTCCTTTTCTTTTTCTTTTTCTTTTTCCCCTTTTCTTCTTCTGTGCCATCTGAGAAGATGGGGGATTTTGGAGACAATTCTCTCTCCTTTATTTTTTTTCTTGAACGCACTGTTTTTATTTACTTTTTGGTGGTGGGGATGGTTGGTCGGGTGGATGGATGGATGTCAATGGTGCGGAGCAAAGAACCGCTGTCCCATGACTAAGACATTCAGGGCTCCGGAACTGGATCGCGGGTGATGTCTTGGTGAGGAGGATGGCTGTCTGTGGCGCCCCTCCATCCTCTTAATCTTTTTTTTTCTTGTATTCTCAAAAAAAGAAAGGGGGGCTCTTTCCCAGGGGCTGCAGACCTTTCGTTTTTTCTGCCTTTTCAACAAACATCATACAAAATCAATCTCGACATGCCAATGGTTTGGGTCCGTCGGTAGCATACATAATTCCTACTGATATGCTATTTTTTGTGTCCCTTTTGGCAACAACCTATGGCGGCAAGGGTGATACAAAAAACTACTGCTCCTCAAGCCGCACTCAAAAACTTCGGCCATCTTGAATACGGTGCTAGTACTCGTACACTGTTGCAAAGGAAGGGGGAAGCACGGGTGCCAGTTAGGCGAGGCGAAACGACAAACACACTCACACATACTCGTAGACTACATATCATACGGTACATATCATACATGAATACGTGCATACTCGAGTACTCGAGCACACGGACTACATACACACACAGACCCGCACACACAACCCCACTCCTCGGAAAGGTAGCACTGTAGTACCGGTACAGCACGGCACTTCTCAACAAGATCCCTTGTATCGAGGAGTGCTAATCTTGCGGAAGCAACTGCTTTCCTGCACGGCACACCCTCTTCTCGCTGCATAATTCGTTCAATCCAAACACGAACCCTCCACCTCATACCGCTACCTTTTATCGCTACCATTCTCCTAGGGGCCATTGATCCGAGCAGACTGTACAAGTTATACATCAGGCAGAAGAGAGGGCGAGATTTCAGTTCTGATACCAAACCATAAAGTACGGTACGCGAGCCACCGCGCTGGTCCTGTGTGGTCAAATTAAAAAAAAAAGACGGAGCCCCTAGCACAGGGTTGTACTGTAGCACCGTCAACCAACCGGCAGCTGGATGACAACTCACGGCAGTTGAAGGGAGGAAAAAGACGAAATAAAAAATAATAATAATACTCGACTAACGAGGCACCAGATCTCGCGCGCATCCGTCCCGAACCAAGGCCTCGTCAACCAAACATCGAAAGAAAGAAAAAAAAAGCACAATAATTATATATATATTTCTGACCCGGATCCCTTCGTCTCGAACCAAGCCAAAACTTCCCGCACTGGATGAGCAAGCCCTCTATCGTTTTCCACCCTTCCTCCAACTCCCGAGGTTTAAGGTTTTCCCCACCATAAGGGGCAGATCAGGCGAAAGGAAAAAAAGAAGAAAAAGGTTGAAAGTGGAAAATAGAGTTGCCGGTCAAGAGTAGAGTTTCCGATTATTCTGCCTGCATCCTGGTTCAAGGGAATGGAGGGGAAAAGGTGGCTTAGTGATGATTGATGGACGGCTGTTTGGGTAAGTCGAGATCCAGCTCAAACAGTGGTATCGATGAACTTCGGCAGTTGTTTTCTTTCTTTTTTTTCTCTTAATTGTATCGTACCCTTATTGACCTTTTTGGTTTCTCATCGTACATCACTCATTACGGTACTCGAGTCCGATAGACAGGTGTCATTCGTTTACCGGTAAAGGGGGGGGGGAAAGAAAAGAAGAGAAAAAGGACCCCAGGACTTTAAGGGTACGAGCGAGCGAAACATACACTACGGTACCCGTATCCATCGAAAGGGATTCCTCGCCTCGATGGAGAACTCTCTTGATCCTTCCTTGCAGTCTTTGCATGATCGTGGACATCGCTCGCTCCTGTCAATCGATGACAGGGTCACATGTAACCAACCGTGTTCACTTGCAGTGACTATTCCGGAGTCTTCCTCCCCCCCTTTTTTTTCATTTTCTTCCCTCGTCGTAAATCACAATGAAACGGAACAAACAAGAAACTGATCCCTTGTGTCTATTTTCCCGTTGGGCACTGTTAGCACCGGGAGCGCAGGGTACCGGTAGGGTGCTCGAGTACCGGTACTTGTACGCACAAGCCCCACCCCATCCTCTGGAAAAGGAAACCTCAACCTTGTGGCAGGTATTATTGCGATATTGTAACATTTGAAAGGGAAGGTTTTGCTTCGTGGAGTTTGCTCTACCATTGCCTTCCGATGGGCAGCGACGGCGATGAAGGTGTATTTCCCTCCTCTGTCGTTTCGACCCGAAGCTGGAAAGGCTGTAACATAACTTACACATCATCATCATCCGCATTCGGTCGCTTTTTTCACGAATCATCACTCACCACCTCTCGCTAGCGGCGGGAAAAATCAAAACGAAACTCATCACTACTACTGTACGCATGCCCATGCGCGCAGACGAAGCGGAACGGGAATGAAACCTGATGGAGAGCCTGATTAATCCCGACCTACCATCGGAGACAGCATCGGAGAAAACAATTGCCGGCATCGTGAGAAGGGTACGAGTACTCCTGCAAGTTACATTATCGCCGTCGACAATTTCAGGTCGCGTGGTTCTTTCTCTTCTGGGATGAACTTTGGCCCTGAAGCACCCAACCGAGCGGACATTGTACCCTGTCGATTTTTACCGTAGTCATTTGCCTCCGTTGGGAGAATGAATGGAGGGAGAGGCAAACTGTGCAGTCAACAGGGCTGATACC